TGATCTGCCGCCACAATGCGCATGTGGTGTCCCCAAAAAAGACAAAATTCAGGCTGTCATGAGATAATTGACTTTCATGCAAGAGGAGGAATATCAGTGGCAGCGGCAGGAGTAGTGGAGAAAAACAGATGACACATTTCAGGTACACAAAGAAACACAAATGAACCACGTACAACTTCCTCACATTGCGGAACTCGGCCAAAATTTAGCTGGAGGGATGGAGGAAGAGGGGAAAAGGACACAAAAATACAGCCACAACAAATACTAAGCTGCAGGTCTTGGCTTTAAAAGCTAACAGGGGATGTTTGGGGATTTTTTCTAACCCCTGTAGAAACTCTCTCCAAATCTGTTCAGGGCAGTTTTGATTAAAGATATTACAATGGCAGTGACAGTAGAAACTTTCCAAAATCAGAAAGTTTACAGCTTGTTCTGCAGCTCAGCATTTTTTTCTCCCACTTACTCCACTGTTTGAAACAGTTTGAATCAGGCTCTGATAGAATTGATTGTGTAAATTTTTTTTAAAGCTGATCTCTCAGGCGAATTGCCAGTGAACACTCTCCAAACTCTCTTTCCTCCGTAGTCTAAGGGTCTGTCACTGAACATCAAGCCACAAAATGAAGTACCTTAAGACTACTCTGTCTGAGGGAGTCAAAATCCATCTGCTAGAGGGATCCATTCATTCCAGTGAATCCAAAGAGGTGTTTCTGTTTCTCAGAAAACCTTGAGGTTTACTGGTGAGGCAAGCACTTAAGTCTCTACCAACAGGTGAGACAGCACGGGACAGAGGGAACAAAAAGACATGACAAAGCAAGAAAGATGGATTTATTTAGATGGGGAGCTTAGCAGGAAAAACTGTAACTGACACAGGCTGAACAAGCAGAGATAAGTCAAGGAGCCCAGAAATTAGAAGACTGATTTGTCATGGCTGACAGCGGGTCCGTTAGCTCTTTGGAAGAAGATTTTGACCTGGGAAAGTTACGGGTGTATCCTTAAGATAAGAGAGAGAAGACAGCTGTGGAGTGTTTAGGTTTGGTCCTGTGAGAACTTCAGTTTTGGCCTTGAGCTTTGTCAACAGTATAACTAACAAAGAATAGCTAATTAAAAAATAGAATCACCTGCCTGCCTTCTGATGCTTGCTAACATGGGATATAAAAAGACTTGCAGGAAAGAAGACTGGTACTTTGCTTAGTAGTGGACTGTTCGTGTTTTTCTTCTTTACTTTTGACTGCTGCAAACAATAACACTGATTGGAATTCTATATAAAATTTGACATGGTGCAAATTTCTATCTTGATTTATTTCTGACAGGAAATGCAGAATATATTCATATGGATCCGCCCTCTCAGAAGAAAGCGGGTAAGGCAAACAGAAGGGCTTCACCTAAGATCAGTAACTTTTCAGAACTTGACAAGCAGCAACAGGAGAGACCCCAAACGCAGAGATCCCATGTCTTTGTTGTCCTTCAGGGCTGAATGAATTCCCTTTGAGCCAGCACAAACCTGCCATTCCCATCCAGTTCAGAGCTGAGTCACACTTGCCAGGCCTCAGTGATCGTACCACATACCAGACTGCTGACCTGAAAATGAAAACTGGGCAATAAACTTACATGGGCAAGTTTTGAGGCCACCCTCCACAGTTCCTCAGAGAGCAAAGATGCTGCATGCTGTCAGTGCCCCAGCCCCTACAGCACAGAGGGTGATGAGCTATAAGCACATAACTCATGGTCTGAAGCACTTAGGCTTGAGGACAACTTAAAGAATATATATATATGTAAGTGCAATAACATGAAAATACAGAAAACAGAGCAAAATTTGAGGTCACAGGGATTTGTTCCATACTTATGTAAATGTTAACAGAGCCTAAAGTGATGGCGGACACACCAAGACCAGATTATGTCCAACTCACCTCATTCAGTCAGATGTTAAGACAGGGTACAAATGTTTTCATTGACAAATGAAAATGGATGTTTATCTTTTGAAAAGGCTGGCATGCAAACCCCACAAGGTGCTGCTCAGCAGAATCCACCCAGAGCCGTTTAAACACTACTTTGAGCAGGCTGGGCCAATACAAATATAAACAAGCTGTGATTAACAACCAAATACCTGATCTGAGCACAAGCAAAAGAAAAACTGACCTGCTCAGGTTTTCATCATTCCCGTCATTATGAAAATTTGCTTCCAGAACTGCGGGTTTTCTTTACTAACTTCTCACTCCCACTCTTGTTCTCATCCTCATCCAGCAACAGCTTTAAGAAGTTAGAGGAATACAATGAAGAGAATTTGAAGAGGGATGTTTCGTGCTGGGGTTGATTGGCATTCCTCCACTCAGAACCACCTCCGTGATTACTGTCTATAAAAGGGATCCATTAAGCAGCTCTCCCTGCCTTATTTGCTTGCTAAGTTGGGTTCATGATTATTCTGTGAGGAGGAAGTAGTTCAGTGTAGACATGAACTCATTTGGATTGGTGCCCTCAGGAAAACACAACTACAGTGGAAATCTTATGCATATGAGGTGCAGTAAGAGAAAGGAGGCCAAATTTCAGGGGGTAAACTGCTTACTGTAAACTAGATCAGAACAACAGCAGCACCAGATAAGAGCTGGATTGCTCATTACTGCATCACAAAGCCCAGAATTAAGAATTACCTGCCTGTGGATCCTTGCTGACTTGCATACCTAATGCAAGAATTTTAGTGAATCCTGATCTGCCGCTTTCCTGTGTTTTCCAGCCAAAACTCTTCTGAAGTTTGGCTCTCTGTGCTCCCAACACCGAAAAGCAGAAAGGACTGCCAGGAATTCTCTTATCACCAGTCCTGTCAAGTGCTACATTTCACTCAAGCCTACATAAAAAAAAGCTGGGTAGGGGAGGAAGGTATCCAAGTGTAAGTGCATACAGGCTAAATAACCAACTGGCAGAAAGCAGGGACTCCATCCTCTAGAAGATAAACATAATAATTTGTGCATTAATTATAGCTCATTTACCTTCCTTATCCTGTATTTCCTCCTCCCAGCTGGATTTTGTAACAAATGTCTGAGCCTTTATACAAACAAGTTAATGGATTCTAATGGTTCACCCTGATGCAATGTTACTTAATCACAACAGCACTTCATTTTCCCTGCTGTATTCAGGGAAGAATAAATAAATAAATATCGTATCCACATTCAAATGTCTCATCTAAACACCTCTTATTTCAGTTTTCAGATTCCATTAATTCCATTGTAGTGAAATTTTACCACGCTTTCATCTTAGTAGACTCTTTCCCTGAAGTTTAAGAAAAATGCAACAGAAATTTCAAGTATTTAGCAATATTTAAGAAAGATACAGCAGAATACAGCAGATACATGTTATTTGTTTTTTTAAAGACTTTCATGTTCCGTTTCCCAACTGTTCTCAAATCCCATTCCCATCAAACTTCTGGATGCATTCTGTGCATCTTATCTCTGATATTTATTTTGTTTACATGTTATACTCCACACACTCTCAATTATTTGTCAAGACAATTCTTTCTCCACGGGAGTGGACCAGAGACATAATTGGATAATACAGTCACCAGAAGTTCCCCATGCTCACAGTAAACAAAACTGGTCTGTCCAATTTCCTCCCCAGAACCTTTTACCTCTTGATCTCACCAGCACCACCTGCTCAGCCTTTTCCTCTCCCCCTTTCTTTTGTCACTTCAGGAGGTGGGTAGATGCTTTCTCACAGCATTTCTCCTTTGCAAGTACCACTCAGCCTGTTTTTCCTTATTATCAGGGGCATCCTATGCAAGAGGCCTGTTTTTGATCTCATGGTTGCAGGTATAAATTACACAATTAATGCTGGCACTCCACCAATCCCACCCATTTCACTTAGTATCACATGTGCACTCCACCCTACCTTACTCAACCCATTTAAATCCTGGGCTTTTTTCCTGTCCCTTTTTTTTTTTTCCTTCGGGCCTCTCTTGTGTGTTTGATCCTTCCATGGACCTCATCAGTATGTTTAGTGCTCACTTGCCTCTGTCTCTCCCCTCCATGTCTCTACTCAGCAACCCCCCTTTCCCCCTCAAGACTCTTGACTCTACATCTCTCCTTGCACCTCTCATCATCAGCATAACTTATTTTCTTTCACTTGGCCCAAACTCTTGACAAAAATCTCACTAGTATTTAAGGAAACAGCATGCTAGGAACAACAGACTAGGAAGTAACACATGAACAGTAAAACCTGCATCTCTTTCAGAAAGGTGTAATTTCTCACGAGGAATGACAAAGCACAAGGTCAAACCTCATGGCACAGCACCAGAGCACAGTCTGTCTTTTACCTACCCTGGGGCCGACATGATCATCTACAGAACAAAAAGGTGGAAGACCAGAGCAAACAAAGTACCACATTTGTTCAAGGTAAATGAAGGGGAAAAAGCAGGTGAAGAAGCAAAGGAAAAGAGTCGTAGCTGCCAAGTTGTTTCAAACAAAAACTAAAGTGCCATCTATTCAATCCGTTCCTTGACTCCTTTCAGTTGCACAAGCAGTGGCATTGTACAGGCAATTATCTCTGTACTTACTGTTTCTCCCAGGGCACTTCATGTCCCCCTGCCTTCGCCAGAGTTGTCCATCTATTCCAGTATCTAACAAATGCAGGCACAATTGTGACATTTTCTCCATAGTCTGGTACACAAGCATTAGAGAAATAAAGCCCTTTGCTTCTGAACTCCTGAAATGTCCTTTTACTGAATGCCACATACTAGAGGCTCTGCAAGTCAACACGAAGCATTACAAGAAATACTTAAATCACATTTTATTTTTCAAGTTCAAAAATAACAATTAGCTTTATTTAACATGTTACACGTATCAGATTTAAAATATCATGCTCTATTTAAATATCTGAATGACAACACTATACAAATAAAATGTTACACAAAATAGATTTAAGAAAATGTTTTGGTCTTCCATCTGAACAATAAATAGACAGGCACTTCTACATGTACAAAGAAAGCAACCACTATTTAGAA